AAGGTGCTGGAGTTCTTAAAAAAGTAAGCCTTACAATGAATATATTAGCAAGAAATAAAACTAAATATTGTCCCTCAATCTCATTCTCAGGTATAGCTGAGCCACTTTGGTTGAGTRTGCTAAAAATAGGCAGCATGAGACAGAACTTCAGCACAGAGAATTTCAGGTTGAATCACTGAAGTTTAGCAAACTTATAGTTAGCTAAAAGCAGTGTGTCAGGAAGAAACATGGAATCGGCAGTAAAATAGCTGAGAATTATTCCTCATGTGCAAACCTCAGCTATTTTGCCATTACTTATCTGAATGGAAAACAAGAGTCAGTAGGCCTTGCGAGTTGGTTTGGAACTGAACAGAGTAGAGAAACCATCATAAACCTGTGAAAATGATGACTCGTGTGGGTGYCCAGTGACCAAATAAGACTGCACATATCCATAGATCTTCCATAAAATTTAATATTATGCCTTTGCATATATTATTTTTTTCTTTCTAAGGGGAATYATGCATGGACATCTGAAGGCAGAATTTGATTCTAAGCCTAGTATCTTTGAATTTTTTTTCCCAAAATGTAAGTGTCTCTTTAACATGCCAGTCACGTTCCCCCACGATTTTAAATAAGCTGCCTCTCAGCCTATTATTGTTTAGTATGTTTTCCTGTATATTCAGAAAGAGTTGTCAAAACTCTCAGATGCTGAAGATAAGCCTGCAAAGCAGAGCTTCAACAAAATAAAGAAGGAGATTGTATAAATTCTGAACTATATCAAGGTTAGATTACCTTTGTTGCTTTGTATATCTAAGATTTGAATTGATTTTTTCTGGTATGAAAACAATGGGGGGAAGGGACTTCTGATGTAATGCTTTGCAGAAACCAGAAAAGTCAATAATATGCAGACAGCTCAAATATAGTATTTACTGATTCAGGCAAGCATGTTTTCAGTGGGTTATGAAGGCAAGTAATTTTAAAGAAATCTATTATTGAATGCATAAGTTTACATGATTTTGTAAGATCCTTAAACACCTTAACTTTTTACAAAGCTCTTAAAAAACACAATTCTTTTTTTTTCCAAAAAGTAAGTCAATCTGCCATAAGTTAATGAAGAGTTGGCATACAAGACACTTCATATGGAACCAAATGCAAGTTTTAAAGTTTGGGACACAATTACGTACGACATACATTTATGACAGACCAGATGTTTAAAAAGTAAAGCAACAACCTAGTCCAGTTTCCAGAACGATTAGTGAAACTTGAATTTTAAACTTAAAGTGCTCCCATCTTGTTTCTGTACTGTTATATAGAGAAGAGTAGTCAATCTTTACCAACCTGTACCATTTTCTCTGCCTTTTTGATTCTGAAAACCCTCTTGAGTGTCTAAACCTCACTTGGTTTCAAGTTGTTAATGAGATTGTTAACCTGTGCAGCCATATAACAATATGTAAAAAAGGCTGGGCATTTCAATCTTGCCATTTTCATCTATTTTTTGCAGAGAACAAGCTTTTCTTGTTATTTATCATCAAAGCCTGTTCGTAATATGTATGTCCTCTTTCAAGTCACAGTACTAAAAATGAATAAAATAAAGCTACTGGATAATAGGCTTTGTAGTAGAAAAATATACAAAAGAAGTAAACAGAACTTTATTAAAAACAGAGGTCTCAATTTTCTATTTCCTTAAAATTRTGCTTACCAAATATCTCTTACTTTTAAATCCATGTAAAACTTGGGAATTTTGGATAGAGAGAAACATCAAGGTTTTACATCAGCTAATGTCAATCTGATCATCCTACACAACATATGAAAAGATGGACCAGTGTGTGTGATATGCTATACCTCTCCCCTGCTGCAGTAGATAGCTCTTAAGTAAGAAGAAAACTTAAATTTCTCCTCTTAAGTAAGGAGAAAACTCTGGATTTAGTGAAGAAAACAGAGAGCAAATGCAACCAGCTAAAATATATCTGCTTTCAATCATTTAACATGTTATCTACAGTAGCAATAATCACTCATTCATTTTTGGGCTATTAATGACTGCTCAGGCTACAACAGGTGGAAATGTAGCCTAAATTTAACACTATTCAGTGTAGATTTACATCTCTTTACCATCCCTAACATCTGCCTCTTGAAGCCAGGCAGTCTCACACACTCAAAATTTTCTGCCAATGTAGCAGTCACTTCTTAATTTTATTACTGAGCTTAATGAAAATGGGATCAAGACTACATTTTCTTATATTAAATAGCCAAGAGAGAGTCTTGGGCCTTTGTCTGTTTGGGCTAGGACAATGTGGTSTCAGCTGACTGTCTGAAGAGCTTGTTAAGGTGACAAAAAATATACCACTAAAACTTCCCTCAGGAATGTGAGTCCTATAACTTAGGTCTGGTAGTGTTTCCCAGAGTCTCATGTTTAGCGTTTTTGAGACGACTTTTCCTAAACCACAGAGGATTTAGAYACAATGTGTGGTGGTCTTGAGGGGATATAGGTGTTATCTTACACTCTGCATTCTCTAATGAGCAGTAGGATGTGTCTTACAGCACAGCCTGACCATGGTGGAAGGGATGAAGATCTTCTTTCATGCTGCCTCCTCCACATGAGATGATATTTGTTTACATCCCCAGCTTCCTCTGTAACATACGAGCCTCTTGAACTCACTGTTGTCACCCAGCTAGTTCTACTCCCCATCCACATCACATTTCCCATTCCTTTTCCCCAGATCCTCATGGGATCAGTCATCTCTTTTGCACATGCTATCTGTCCTCCACTCCCAGAGAGACAGCATGATTTAGTGTGAGAGATTCATCTTCTCTGAATGCAGATAACAGAACAAATAATTTGGCTCTTAGGACCCCAGCTTAATGCCCAACACAGAAAGGAGAAATGAAGAAAACATTGCATATTCTTTTTTTGTAAATAGATCTATTTCTATTACCTAAGTTGTTTGTGCAAAGAATAAGGTGCAAGTCCACATTCTTTCTGTATCAGTGATTCTATGACTTCTCCTCCAAGTGGTAGGACTTTTTTATAGCACTCAGCAGGAGGTTGAGAGCTGTGTTTTTAGCTTTGCCTCTTTTCTATTCTAATTTTTAAATTATTTTTCAATATGCTATTTATATAGTAGTTTTATAGAGAGTGAGGATGTATACATACAGAAACATTAATGTATGAAAATATAGCTTCAAACAATGTTTTTGGATTAAAGGGCATATATCTGTATACATCTGCAACACATGAAAGGGAAAAAAGGCCCTATGTATCCTATTTTCGTATTCTGATGTTCATTGTGTAGGGTTTTGCTTGGTTTCTCTCTGTAAAAAGAGCTGGAACTAAAATTTTGAATGCCAGACATTCTAAGAAGTACATAATCCAAGGGTGAGGGTAAATTTATCTAAAATCCTTTTTGCAAAATAAGAATGTTTAATATGCTGCTGTCCACCTTTGTACATATTGCCTTAGGCATAGCAGAGTTTTTGCCCATAAAATGAACACAAAGTAGCTTAAAACTCACAGTACTATTCCTTTCTTCTAATTTTTATTGTTGATACCCTATTTTTAATTGCAGCATAGGAGAGAGGAGTTTACTATGAAAAGAAAATGGCATTTCTTTAAAATGTAAGAATTTAATCGTGTGCTATTGTTGCCTGCCAACAATGAGCTAAAGAGGTTAATGGATCATAGGTCTGGCAACCAGCCACGCTGCCTCCGGCTCGATACATTTAACTGCATAATCTGGGTTAAGATTTGGTGCCATTTTTTAAATCAGGGCATGAACCGTTAATACATAAAAGTTAGATTTTATCCAGTCTTTTSGTGGSTATTTTTTTTTTTWATTTTTRCCCCTCCCCGAAAACACAGCCACTGATCTCGAATCGCACGGCAGCAGGAGCGAGGGGAAGTAGGAGGGGGCCTCCCTCACTCCCCTCCGCCCTGCGCCCCGAGATCGTGTGCTGTCCCCGGGCACTCCCTGGCATCCCTCCAGCCGGGCAGCAGCGCCTGATCCCCCCTCTCCCGGGGCTACCAAATTCAAGGGCCCAAAACGCGAGAGGAGCACTGTCGCGGGTCCTCTACACACGCCCCTTTCCCCAGGAAAGTCCATTCGGAACTCCGAAACCACAACCTGGAGCCTTCAAATGAGTGGGGTGTGCGGGGTGTGATTGGTTGGGGATTGGTTTGGGKTTTTTTTTAAGAGAGATTACAGAAAAAGTATATAGCTCCCCCTCTCCCATCTTGCATGTTCCTCGGGCACACTGTTGGAGGAGCCAAGCAGCAGCGGCAGCGTTGTAATGCAAATCACTAAGCGAGCAACTTTCGATGCTGTTGTGGCTATTTTTGATTTCTCTCCCGAGAACGAGCTTTTTTTAGTGTGCGTGTTGCTTTTTTTCCCCCCTTTCCGTTTGATTCTTATAATCATCCCTCCCTCCTTTCTCCGCTTGCGCCCCCTCCTCCCCTAAAACATCCAGCCGTAATGATGCGCCGTCCTCGGTCCTCTCCAGCGGGTCACACCGCTCGGGCMGGAGGTGAGCGGCCAAGCGGGGAGCGGCGTTTGCAGGGATGTGCCGGAGCACCGCGCCGCTGCCGGGCAGTGGCGGGTCCTCCCCGTGTGCTGCTTCATTCCTCCGCCGTCTCTCCCGGGCCCCGCCGGCAGCTCTCGGGGGCAGCCGACCTCCCCTCCGCGCCCCTCGCTTYCCCTCCAGCCGCGTCCCGGCGGCGGCCACCGCCTCCCAGCGCCGCCCCAAAGCCTGCGGGAGCCCGGCCGCTTCCCGCGGAGGAGCCAGCGCCGGCGGAGGGCCCTGCCCGGCTCTTCCCTCGGCCGCAGGGCGAGCCCACAGCACCTGGCTGCGTTGCCCGCTTTAGCGAACTGGGAGAGAGAGAGGGAGGGAAGGAGGGGAAAAAGGGAGGGAAGGAGGGAGGGAGGGAAAGAGGGAGGCTCCTCCGTGCGCGGGGAGCGGCTCCGGCTCTCAGCTGGGCGCTACCGGCAGCGGCAGCTTCTGCCGCGCTGCACCGCGGGCGGTGACGGCTCCCGGCGCGGCGGGATCGCGCCGCTGCCGCGGGACCGCAGCTTTAGGGCGGGGGGCTCAAACCTCGGCCGGGAAGTAAAGACAGAGTTTTGCGKTTTTTTTCTTTTCTTTCCTAGTGACTGGGCTTTTTTTATTACCATTATTTTTAATCCCTCCCCCCGCTCCCCCCATTCCCCCGGCGGTGCGTGTGGCAGCGGGGAGGATGCGCGCCTCCCCCAAGCCGTTCCCCGGCAGCTCCCGCCGCGGCTGCGGGGCGCTGGGGGCCGCGGGGCTGGGGGAGCGCTGGGCCGCACCTGGTGGCACCGCCATGCGCGGGCTGCGCCCCCTGATCTCCGCCGCTTCCCGCCGCCCTTCGGTGCCTGAGTCTCCCTTCTCTCGTGTCCAGCATCGCGCACACACGCACACACCGTCACGCACGGAGGCACTCACTCACTGACTCTGCCGAGCTGCCCAGGCTGCCGAACAGCACAGCGCAGCGTCGCGCAGCCCGCCTGGAGCCCCCTCCCTCCCTCCTCCCTCCCTCCTTCCATCCCTCCCTCCCTCCCTCTCTCCTCCTCCTCCCTCGCTCCCGCCCGCCGCTCTGAAGGATGCCCGGTAAGTAGCGCCGAGGACCGGCACCTCTGCCGTTGCGTGATATGAGGGGTTAGGGACTGCTTATACCGCTGCCGCCCGCCGGGGGGGCGCAGGGCGGGGGGCGCGGGGAGGGGAGGTGACAGCGATCCGAGGCAGGAGGCGGCGGGGCTCGCCGGGTGCTCCTCAGAAGGACTTTTAGCTGCGCGGCCGGGGTTTGGATGTGGGCGCCGAGGGACGGGGTCTGTGCACCGCAGCGGGCACCGGCCGGGGCGGGGGCGCTTCGCCTGCGCTGCGGGTTGCTGCCTGCAGCACCGCGGTGAGTACGGGGCTCCGCGCCTCGCCGGGGTCCCCCGGGGACGGGGAAGGTGTGGAGGGTGCCCTGCCGCGCTCGGGGCTCCCTTCTTGGCGGCTGCGCTCCGAGCCGCGCTGGGACCGGGGYGCGGAGGGCAAGGTGCCCCGGTACGTCCCGGGGACTGTCCGCTGCTACTCCTCGGTTCTGGCCACGTCCCTCGGGGCTGCCAGCAAGGTCCGGTGTTTCGGGCGYCGCGATGCTTGAGATCGGACAGAGAGGCAGCTCCGCCGGGCGCCTCACCTGCGGAGAGAGCAGCCAGGTGCTGCGCACCGGGGCGTGGGAGCAGAGCGGAGCCCCGGCCGGTGCCCCGGCACCGCAGCGAGAGGGTGCCCGCGGCTCCCCTGCCCGCTCCCCGTCCTGCATGCTCTGTCCTCCTGCGCTGCAAAGGGCTCCGGTGGGAAAATGCTTGTCCCTTAGGGAAGCGTAATGTTTGCAAAATGTTTGCTATCAATTAGAGGGTGGCTGTGCTCAGCTCCGGTTTGCGCACGGCTAACTCCGCTCAGGCAAGGGCTCAGCTCCGGCTGCCGAATGCCAGGGACACAGGGCAAGGGGCTTTTTGTTCTCCTAGACTGCCTGGTGCTATTTGTGGGAAACACATATAAAAGCTCACAAGTGGTGGAGATTTTTAAGTGGACTTTATTAAATCATTGAAATATTTTTTCTTACTTTTACTGTGKGTACTTTGACTATGATCTCTTCTCACTGTGTTTTGCATCCTGGGTATGATAACTCTGCCATTGGAGTCAATGGCAAAACTCCCAATTGACTTCAGAGGAAGGCAGTTACGGTCAATACAGGATGAAAGGGACTGGGCAGAAGGTGGAGAGATGGCAAAGTGAGAGAGGTGCAAAAGAAACTTCATTTTAGGAGCTAGCTTTTTAACCAAAGACTTTTAGCAGCACTGTGTCCGAAATGTCTTCTAGATTTTTATTTCCACTTTGCACTGGACAAACACCAGAATGATTTCTTGATGTTTGGACATCAAGAAGGCTGAATCTCATTGTTTTACCCACAGACATTGCAATGTATTACTTAGTAACTCTTACTTTTCCAGTGCTTCCAATGCATTTTCCTCACTAAAAAGTTGGAAGCAGAGGGACTCCAATTAGATGGACTCCCATTGAATTCAGTGGCCTGTGAATCAGGCCCAGAAAGGCTCAAAACAGAGGTAACAAGAGAACTGTAGTACACTTTGCAAGGAAAGGTGTTGCATAAGCATTTAACTCATGAACACCCTCCCTCTAGAGAGGGGAAAAATCTAAATGTACATTAATTTTTTATTCCATTTTATCCAACTCTTTCACAGCACAGATACAAATAAGAAAGAATGCTTCTGATTAATAATTAAAACACCCATATTCATATGGATTACAAAGAAGATTTTATGCAAAAAAAAATCCATTAGCAAATGGAAGTTCTAGTTCACAGAATGTCCTCTGCTCAGTGCAGTATTTAGATTGGGAGCAGTCAGAGATATAGTGAAGCACAAAATACAAATATGGCAAAAAATTCAAATGGCAAAAGCTAGACTTATTCCTGTAACCTGACAGCTGTCAACTTCTTGGAGCACCTTAAAAAGCAAA